CCAGGACATGTTCTCCCTATATGGATTATATGTTATAATGAGTATTATTTTCATCTGTGGCTTTTCAGAAAACACTGCATTATTACAACAACTTTTCCCCCTCACTGGACATGGAACTCTGGGCCTTGCACACGCTAGGCAACAACTCCAGCTTCACACAGCCTCTTTCTATGTAAACCTTTGGTAATTACTGTGGAGATTGGCCATCGCCACCAATATCCATTTGACCCCTCCTCTTTGAATGTTTTACCTCCCCTTATCTTTATGTCTTTTTGTTGTTGTTGTTGTTGTTGTTTTGTCTTTTTCTGGTACCAGGAATCAAACTCAAGACCTTGCACTTGCCAGGCAGGCGCTGTGCCGCTGAGCTAAATCCCCAGCCCGCCCCTTATCTTTAATTAGACAAATGATCATCCAGAATAAAGCTTACCTTTCCCATTCTGCTGGGCAGCTAGGTATTTTTACAGAACTAAGTCCTGGTAATGATGTGTGAGCAGAGTGATATAAGTAGTACGACTTCTTGAGTATCATTTTCCACTGCTGGAGTAAGAAATCACCCTAAATTAGTAGCTTGAAATGACACAAATTTACAATGTCACAGTTTCTGTAGATCGAAAGTCCCTCTTGGCTTTGGAGATTTTCCTAGATATCTAGCGTTCACAAAGTTGACATGAAGTTGCTGGGCTCTCATTGGGAGGTTCTACAAAGAATCTGCTTCCAAGTTCACCCAGGTCATTGCAGAATCCAGGTCTTCATAGTTGGACACTGGCGGTCCCAGTCTTCTTGTTGACTGTCACCTCGGGAGGCCTTGGCTCCTAAGAGCCCCTCTCCGATTCTTGCATAAGGCTTCCTTCTTTTCGGAGCCACGTTGGCTCACCGTGACCTCCTTATGTTTGGGATCTGACTCCTTCATCTCTCAGACTACAACTAAAAAACGTTCTTGCTTTTCAAGGTTTGTATGCTTAGATAGATCCTATGGAGACAATCCAGGATAGTGTCTTTATTTTAAGGTCTCAGGCCTAATCATACCCATGCAATCACCTTTGCCCTGTAAGGGAACATATGCACAGGTTCAAAGGGTTACCAGGGAGACATCATTCAGTTTTCTAGAGAACATAATTCTGCCCACCACAAGAGCACAACCCTCTTCCTTGCTTCTTCCCTCCTAGAAAGTGTGTGTGACGGTTGGAGTGAATGTGGACTGGGAGGATCCACAATTTAGGGTTCATAGAATGCCAAGGCAAGGCGGCTTGGGGCCCAGACAACCTGACAACATTCCATTCCTGGACTATCTAGCTTCAGACTTCCATCTGAGAGAGAAATTAGCTGTACTCCCAAACCACCGCTATTTGGGGGCCTATTAGTCACAAACAAACATAACCAGCACTAAATAAAGGGGTCCTGGAACAATCCCTTTTCTGGGAGCCTGTGGATCCCTACACATATCAGCAAGAGACTTCCTATCTTTGATCCTGGGACTGTCTCTAAGTTAAGTGAAACCCATGGGCCTAGGCACACATGGATATCAACACTATAGGAAGTATAACTCTGGTACTCTTTTATGGGGGGTGTATTTACTTTCACTCATGTCTGCTCAGCAACGAGATGACTTTGCTGTCCAGAAACTCTCTGAGGAAGAGCCAGGACAAAACCTAGCTGCTGTCTCAGGGTGAGAATCCCTGGGCCCAGGGAAAAAGCCATCCAGTTTGTGTCACTGTTGTCCCTCCCTTGAGGCCCATCGAGCAAAGTGCTACCTTGCTGATCTAGAAAGACAAAAAAGGCTGCAGCTTCTGGAGAAAGAGCTCTACTCCCCTTAGTACACTCTTCAGACACATTACTTCATTTAATCATCACAACAAGGACATGAGATGGGATTGTCCATAACTCAAGTGCTGCAGACAGGCCAAAGGGATTAATTTATTTGCTGTAGTTCAGAAAGGCAGTAAATAGTAGATACAGAATCAGGGGTTAATCCCTGTCCAGACTGCTGGGAGACAACTTTCAATTTCCATATTTAGCCAGAGATTCTTCCCTTTCTCCTCCACTGGATCAGAGGACAAAAGGTAGCATGAAAGATGACCTTGAACCTCATCGAAAACCTGTTTGTATATCAGTGGAAAGGGCAGCTCATGTAGAGGAAAAAGATCATGTGCTCTATTACACTTCTGGTCCAGAAACTAAGTATTTAACATTAAATCCAGGTGCTGGGGCTCTAGCTCTGTGGCACAAGTTCCTGCCTGGCAAGCGCAAAGTCCTGAGTTCAATTCCCGGTACCAAAAAAAAAAAAAAAAAAAAAAAAAAATCCAAATAAAGTATGTGTGGATTTATTGCAATAAATCCAATTATATAATACTTTTATACAAAAATTTTAGAGATTTAATCTTCTCATTATATTCAATCTCTAGAGCTACTGAAGTGGAATAGTTCCATGTAATACATCAATTTCAAATTGGCAGCATTTTCAAATATCTCTAGATATGTGAAACTTCTGGCTTTTTTAGGACTTGTATACATGGGAAATGTGACCTTTCAAAGTCTCACACCTTTGGAAATCAGGCTAATTGAGACATCAGGAAAAGAATGCATAGCCTGTATTGGAATAATATAAGTCAATGTAAAATATTTTTTATAGTATTGACGATTCCAGGGCCACTCTACCAGTGAGGTACATCCTACAGCCCCAGTCCTTCTTTAAATTTTATTTCAAGGCAGGGTCTCTTTAAGTTGCCTGGACTGGCCTTGAACTTATGCTGTTCCTTCCTCAGCTTTTTGAGTAACTGGAATTATAGGCATGAGCCACCATGCCTAGCTTATTATACTTCGCATTTGTATACTTATCACTAGAAGTGAGAGTTCGGTGAATTTCATAATCCAGACAAAAACCTTGAGTGCATGCTGATGGCATGGAACACAAGTAAGGCGTCCATATGCTCTGTCACTGGGAATCTGTATCTGGGAAGGACTCCAAGCAATGCAATTGGAAGTGGAAATACAACATAATGCCTAAAGTTAGAGCTGTATGCGCTTTCAAAAGGCATCTATCTCTCAGTGGTAGGGATTGAACCTAGGCCATCTGAAATGCTAGACAAGCCCTGTACCTCTGAGCTATCCACCCCTCTCCAGCCTGAGAAAATAATTACAATGAGAAAACAGGAATAGAATTTTACTAGGCCCATTCCAACTCATGGATATGTAAATATACCATACTTAACTGTGGGAACCTGGCATTGACAGGATATCAGTAGGCAGATCAAAAGATCATACACACATCAGCCAGTCGCTCTTTAAAGGAAATGGTTGATATGCAGAACTTGACCTCCCTTCCCACCCAGTTTCCTGCTGAGAAATCTATCCAAAGGCAGCAATTCCAAAAGGCTGGCTGCATCATGGCCAGTTCCTTTGTAGAGAGGCCTTTCTTTTTCCTACTGCCCTGCCTCAGTTTCCCAGCGGATTTATTGTCTGCAAATCTAGCTTGCTAGAACTGAGCTTGAGTAAAATATGCTTCAGTGTCAGCTGAGAACATTTGCCTCCCCTCCTCTTCTGAGATCAAACCCAAGGCTTCTAAACAAGCACCCTTCCAACTACAGTACTTGGTTTTCAGGAGAGCTTGCAATTGGAGCTGATAAAGTTATGGAAGACATCAGTTGTGGACTAACATACTCTTATAAATAAAAGATTTCAAGACCATTTATAATAGATCTTTATCAAGCTGACCACTTCTATGCACGTTTCAACCCCAGGGGTGGCGGTGTAGCTCAGTAGCAGAGCACTTGCCTAGCAAGCTCTTGCTTGGCCAGTGTGAGGTCCTAGGTTCTAACCTCAGCACTGCAAAGCACAACCACAAAGTTTCATCACTGTAACCTTGTGTCCTTCTAAAGACCTCCCTTGTCTTCAAACATTGCCTCAACACAAAGAGTTGAGATAGTAATCTGAATGGGTAGTTTTCATCACCAACAGTGTCGAGACCCTTGGGAGAGATGGGTGCCCCGTGGGAGGAGGTGGGGTGTACCTCAGTGGTAGGCACTTGGCTAGCATGTGCGAGGTGCTGGGTTTGATCCCAGCTCTGAAAAAAAATTATTTTGGAAAGCATCACTAGTCCGTAGATACGTTATATCATTATCACCATGGCGACACATGCAAACACATAGACCATGCAGACATGCCCAAAGATGGGCTGATTCAGCCTCAGACACACATAACACACACACACATATACACACATATATGCACACAGATTTTGACTAGGATTGATGGAAATATAAGGATATATTGAAAGGCCCTTTACTAATTTGAAAAGCCCTTTATTAACTTGAATTGCCCTTTAAAGCGCAATACTTAAATTTCATTCAAATGTAAATGCATTAACCTGAATTTATGGAAGGAGGGTACCTGTAGAGGCAAAAGCACTACATTAAGGAGCCAAAATTAATTTGGGAAATTGAAGCAGCCCTTGTCCTTCAAAAGGAGTTATTTGGGGAATCTGAATGACTCCTATTCGCTAGAACAATTCACCTGCAGTTTAATCTCTACCACTGTCAGGGGCAACAGGTGATTGGCATGCAAATTGTGAGTGCTTTCGTATGGCAGTCTGTAAAGATTCCAGCCATGCCCGGCATAGGGCAGAAGCCTAATGAATGCTACAAGTGCATTCAGACATTAGTCTTGGAAGGAAGGATAAAAGCGAATTATACACCTCAGCTCCTTAAAAGCAGTAGGCAGGCCCTGAAATCACCACCAATTAATTCTCAGATGCTGTATACATGGGTTTAGCTAAGATGAGAACTTTTTGAGCAACTGATAGCAAAACTACAAGAAATACATCACTAAAGAAAGCAAAGTTTTGTTTCCTCTGTATTGTTTTTGACACTGTGTGATCTTCGACCTTATGCGTCCCCAAGGAGAGCTGGGGAGAAAGATGTTTTGGGGAAAGGCACGAGGAGTCCCCCAAATCAGGCCTTGCATAGCAGCGTGCTCTCCCAAATTCTAGTTCCCGCAGGTCCCACGGTCGGCGGCTTCCGCGAGAGGGTGTGGCGGTGAGGAGCCCTTCCTGGGATCCGCGGCTCGGCGGCTTGGACGCGGGCGTTAGTGCAGGGCGCGCGAGCGCTCCATCGGGTCTTGGCACGGACCAGTACCGGAGCTCGCGCGTGGCGCTCCGCGAGCCCACTCCGCCTGGGGGTTGAGGATGCCCTGAGGGATGCGGGGCCTGGGGCTCGGGCCCCGAGAATTCCAAGGAATGGGGAGGCCAGGAGGCGTCACGAGCGGAGCCTGGCGGCCGGCGGGATCCGGAGCTCGCGCACCGCGTTCGCAGGCGCCTTGCTCTTCGCGTGCGCCGACGGCCCCTTTCCCTGGGAGCTCTCCAAGCCGCTGCTGCCTGTCCCTTATATGAAAGAAGCACGCGAAGTGTGCCGAGCAGAGCAGGCAGGTTGGGAATCACCCTGCTGGTCAGGATATCATTCCAGACTGGCGGAAAGACCTCTTCGCGGAGGCCCCGCGGGCTTTTTCCGGCTGCGAACATACCCGGGGTCCTCACGCGGGTCGATTCCCCGAGCGCACAGTGCGCGGCCGCCGGCCCGTGGGCCTTTCATCCGAGCTCCACGCGGCCGCCCTGCGGGCCGAGCTAACCCGCGGCGGCCCGGGGGCCTGAGGGTCCGCGTCGGATCCTCTACCCCCCCCCCCGCGGAGCCCCCAGGGCGTTCTGGGCCAGAGCCCGGTCCGCCTTCACCCTCTCTGAGGCTCCCTGGAGGGCCAGCCTCCACTGGTAACTCCAGCCCTCTCCTCGGCTGGCCCTCGGCGTGTACTGGAGCTGCGCCAGGCGCGCTCGCCACCCTGCAGAGCATCCCCTCCTTCCGCCCTGCTTAGGACCCCATTGCAAGGACGTGGTAACGGAGCGGAGCGTCTTAGGCGCGGCCGGGCCTGGGTGAAGAGCGCGGAATCCAAGCTCTGGACAGCGAGACTTGAAAACCTCGTTCCCGGGCTTCTGTTCACTTCTACCCCAGGGCGGCCGAGCTCGCGCCGAGCTCCCCGCAAAGCTCGGTGACCTCTGCCACCCCCCCCCCGGGCTGTCGGAAGCCGCGCGCCTGGCACGAGTCTGCATCCGCGCCCACAGCCGCCCCAAAACAGCGCCCGGGCCTCGGCGAACCCTCGAGTCCGCGCACAGAAGTCGCAGCTTCGCCAGTTCGGGGTGGGAGAGTGGGACCGAGCCTCGGAGAGCACAGGCCGGTTGTTTGCGTCTGGGGCCCACGCGCTTCCAGCTCGCAGGAGGAAAAGAAAGGAGCTTATTTGCGAGGAGAGACATAAAGCCAAGAAGTGCTCAGCAGTGAGCAATGAATATATGAAACATAGTCACATGGACAGAGGGCTCCTGGGCGGTAGGAGACCAAAGGACTCCCTCAGCACCACTTTCACTGCTTCCGAAAGGGATGTCAGAAAACGACAGCCAATCATTGTGGAGCGATTAACTATTTTCTAAACACGGAATGAAGTGCTGTTTGTACTCTTTGATTTAAAGCTCCCAGTTATTTCACGAATAGTACAAAATGTGCTTCGTCTCTGCCTAGGAGGAAACCAAGGCAAAGAGAGCTTGAATAGTTTTATCGGGACTCTGGGCCAGTATTTGAGGCACGCGGGGTGGCAGGGCAGCGCAGCTGCACTCCAGAAGGCCTCGGGTCCGCGCAGGCCGAAAGGAAAGCGCAAAATCGCACAGATGAGAAACTGTCCCCTTCTGATGCAGAGACTTTATTTTTCTGGAGGTGCACTCTGACTCGGATTTTTCACTGCAAGAAGCAAAGCAAAGCAAAGCGAAGCAAAACAGAACAAACCGCTCTGCCTCTCTGTAAAAGAAAATAAAAGCAGCAGCAGCTCACACAAGTGAGCCGGAGGCCCGCAGCGCCCGCAGCGACGGCGCGCAAAGGAGAGGGCTACCGCGGCGCACACAGAGCTAAGCCACCCACTGGAGAGGGGTGACCAGGAGCAGGGGTCGACGGGATGGAACCCCACTAACAGGGCATTTTTGCCCCTCACACAAGAATTCCCGGCCTTGGGCCTCTGGCGATGTAGCCAAAGGAACACTTTCTTGGAACAGCCACAGAAGAGCAGCTCTGGTGGGTGGGGATGCCAGAGGCCAGGGCACCGTCCCTCCAGCAGGGCGACTCCGGGACCCTGGAATGGGCTGTTGTCAGCTCCCGCCCTATTCAGTATCAGCACAGGCTGACTCCCCGTGCCCCCTGTATTTTCTGTGAAGGCCAGAACAGATCTTGAATAAAACAGAAAAAGGAAAATCCGTAGTCCACATGCTGCTCTAACTCAAAACCCAAGTATGATATTTCTTACTCCCTCACTTTTACCAGATGAGGACAGAAAAAACTAAACTCTTTAAAAATTCTACTAGAATCATCACCCTTAGACAGGTTGGAACAAAGCGAAAAGGACAGGTTTTCATCTCCACTCATGGTAGCTGTGTTTTATTGAAGCCTTTTCCATAAACACAGCCTGAAGGCCCAGTTGCTGAGGGGAGGAACTGACCAGGAAATTACATGGCTGTTCATAAAGAGTGTTAGTTAATTTTTGAAAATTGGTTTTGGTACTAGGGATTCAGTCCAGGGCCTTGCACATGCCAGGCAAGCGCTCCAGTGCTGAGCAATATCCTCAGGCTTTTTATTTTATTTTGAGATAGGGTCTTGCTGAAACTTCCGGGCTGGCCTGCAACTGCTACAGCCTCCCAAATAGCTGGGATTACAGGCTTGCTGTCGTGTCCAGCTATGATAGGTAATTTTAAAACTTTAAAAAGGACCAGTTTTTAAACCTCCCAATCACACGTTCTCATGATTTCTAAACATGTAGAACTCATACTAACTGTAAATATTTGTTTGCTTGTAGGGTAGCCCAGTTCACCCCACTGGTCTTCACCCAGGTTTTCACTGCTGAAGCCAGGACCTAAATCCATACGTTGAATGGAAAGCTCCTTGTATCTTTGGTTTAGCCCGGTTGGGGCTAATTTTTCACCTTCATCCTTTAAGGTCATCCATCCAGGTCTCCTGGGAGCTACAGCCACACAACACACACACACACACACACACACACACACACACACACACACGGGCTCTTCCACTGCCCCTACCTCCAGCCCCTGGCCCAGCCAGACAGCAGTATTTTCTTCAGAGGAGAGGAGTCCAGGTTGAGGGCTATGCTAACGAAGTACTAGGCTAAGGAGGAGGAGAGATGGAGGAAGAGAACTTTTAAAAGTACCGATTTCACTGGATCGTTGAAACCTCAAATGCTTTCTTTTAATTATTTATAAAGATAATAAAGTCGTCTCCCGAAAAGAAAGAATGTTCAGCTTCTGGGCTGATTAAGGCCCTCAGTCCAGGCCCGCTGCCCTAGGAGTGTTGGGGTGTTCCAATTTGTATGTTCCCGTTGTCCTTTGAAGAGTTGGCTAAACAAGTCCCCTAGGGGAGGGTTGGAGGCCAGGAGGGGCTCTGCCTCAGCACCAGAAGGGAACCTCAGGATGCCAGAAGCCAGTGTCTCTTCTTCCGGGAGGTTTGCCAGCATCCCTTCGAAGCGCCCCACTCGGCACCTGCGCCTGGAAGCACGGGTTCTCCCCTGGCGTCCAGAGTGGGCCCCACAGACCCCAACCCACCCAGCTGCCAGGCCCGCGTTCACGCCCGGGGTCCCAGGCCCGCTCCCCACTCCGCGAGTGGTCCAAGCCGCCCGGCCCGGCAGGCAGCGGCCCCCACCTCTCACCGAGGTTCCTGCGGCGGGCGCCGGGGCGCAACGCTGGAGGGCTGGGGCGACGCGCTGA